CGCCCCAAAAGAGAGAATGTGTGTGCGGGGGTTGGGGATGGAGTGGGGGCGAATGAGAGTGAAAGGGAGGCCGTCAGGGAGGGGATGGAGGGGAGGCAGTGTGGAATTCCCCCCTCTGCTCCGGCCGCTAGATTTACAACCTCAAGGCGCGCGTGGATATTACTTTTCATATCACGAATGGGGAATTGTGTTAATGTCTGCCGGAACTCATTCTGCCGGTGCGTCACGTGCAGAGAGGGGAGGGGTGGGGCGAAAGGGGGAAATACGACTACATTTTTATAAGCTTTTGTCCCTACTCCTTTCGGGGAGGTGCGAGCCGGGGTCTCGGGTCAGACCCCTGCTACAATATTCTCTCGACCGTTGCTGCAATTTCGAAAATGAAGAGGGTCCATGGGGGAGGGGGGGGGGCGGAGTGATGAAACGCGAGCGGCAAGGAGCTTGTTGAAGTGCGAGGTGTTTCGTGACCCGTTGGGCTTGTGCTGTTGCAGTGTCGGTGATGAAGCCCCAGGAGACGTTCGACAACACCCTGGAGTCCATCAGCAGCAGCAGCGCTGCCGCCAACGCCGCCCTCCGCGGCCGCCCCGTCGAGGCCGTGGTGCTGCTGGCCGCCGTGGGCTGCGTGCTGCGGCGCCCGTAGAGACTCGTCTGCTCAGGCTGTCGGCACTCCTCACGCGCTGCTGCGCGGTGTGCGGCCCGGGCGCGGGCCATACCGCGGTACGGCGGCAGGGCGGAAGCGGCCCGGGCCCGCACACCCCCTGTCCCCGCATTGCGCTTGTTTGTAAATAGCGGAAGGGAAGCGACGGGGAGGGGACGTCACGGGGATGTCCCGGGACACCGTTGTCGAGCGGATCTCGCGCTCTGCTCGGTTTTGTACGCTTGTCGTTGTCCCCTTGCTGGAAACTGGGGAGGCGAATGCGAGGCCGTCTCCGTTCAGTCGGAGGAGGTCCGCTTTCATTTTTCTTATGGATAATACATATAAGCTGTAACATTTTAGGCTGAGCTATTTATTGAGACCTTTAGGTAATTGTCTGTCGTGATGTCGATTGATAAGGACATAAGGATTTGTTGTCTTCGTGTAATTACTGCCTGCCTAATATCTGAAGGAATTGTAGACCTGTTCCTGTTCAATTTTCAGTGACTTGTTAAAATATTGCATAGTCACATGTATATGTCCTGTCGTTGTCTTGTGAATAGGATTTTTTTATTATTTTTTTCCAGTCTTATCCTTGAACCGAATTAGGTTCAACTTCTGTAGTCATCTCTAAATATCCTTCGCATTGACTGGGCTGAAATAAATCTATATTGTGTTCTAGTGTCGGTAGGCATTGCGTTTTTCATGACAATGTTGATAAAAGACTCTCTTAAGCTATAGTGTAAAAATAAATCTACTATTGTAAAGATGAAAATGCTGTATATTTTCGCAATTTGGTTGATGAAATTGTGTATGGGTGTGTGTGAGTGTGTGTGTAATGTGTAACGTAAGGTTTATGTGTGCCTACTGTACAGAAAATGTTTTATATGTTAAAATGGTAATTAAATTTTGTTGATAATTTTTATTGTTATGGATAATGTGTGAGTGTATAGATCTTATATGTAAACCTTAAAAAAGGTCTTACTGCTGCTTTTGGTGGTTGTTAATAATGTACTTGCTATTTTTGTGAATGCAAAACTGATGTATTGTAAGGTAAATGAACCACTCAGTTGTATTGCTCAATCAGAAAATTGCCTGTTACAATCAGAAAATTGTATCATTAAGGATTCCACAGAACGGCGATTACGTAAGCGTTCATAATTCAAGAAAATTGTAAAAAATGTCTAGGCCTAATGTAAAGCATACATAAAGTTTTGTGGTATCTCTTTATGGTTTTGTATCAAACTTTGGGCTTTCTGTTAAACCTTGCCAGAGGGGTATACTGTTTACCTTCATCAAAAAGAGTGAAGTGTTTCCACCCTTAAATTGTGTGCAATTTACAGAGTTGCATTTATCAAAATCTTTTTTCCAGTTGTCCCTTATCATCTTATGTGTGGCTCCCGCATTTCTTTTTTTTCTTTTCCTGGATCCATTAGTAATACTGTCACAGCCCCAAAACAAGTATCAAGGTTGGATGGTTTACAGGTGTAATTTATGTGGTATTTCTAAAATATCCTGTAGAATTTATGACCTGTTGAGGAATTGTACCTGGAACAAGTTAGGGAGCGTCTAGCGACAACCATCTCTTATCTGTTTTTGATTAATTGTTGTGAAATGGCAGTAATGGCATAATATCTGTATCCATTGACCATGGTTACTTCTGCCTTGAAAAAATAACTGGGCTTCTTCAGAAGCTGAATCTTTACTAAAGCTGGTATGACAATATTCTGAACCGAAATCGGACTTAACACGTAGCATCATGAATAAGATTACATTGACCAATAGATGAAATTGATTCCATGTTTTCATAAGTCCTTCACATTTTACACGCTGTCTAGTTTTTGTCCTGGTAGGAGAGTCAGCAACCTCAAAATGCAGAGCAACAGTGCCAAAGTCACGATGTTTATTTATACATAACTTTGTCTCTTTCTTCCTTCATCCAATTAAAAGAGATAGAGCTATCTCATTGCACGACAGTCTACCAGTGCACAAGCTTTCTAGCCACTTGCTATGTCTCTTATTGTGGTTACAAGTAAGTGGATAAAGAATAAGATTTTACTAAACTATGAAAATGCAATGATAACCATGTGCCACTGACGTGTAATGCTTTTGGGGGTTGACTTGAAGCAGTTTCCTGTCAATTAGCTGCAAACTACTCTGTCATAATTTTCTTAGCACTAGCTTTGTTATGCAAGTAGTCTATTTGAAAATACCCTTAAGGTTATGCCTAATTACAATATGAATCAAATCTAAGAGCAGTCAACAAATTTCTGTTATTACATTTCTTTGTTTCCAATAGCTCTTGCTGATTTGTAACATTTCTGACTCTCCTTCAATTATTTGCCTAGCATTGGGTACTGAAATGACAAGCTCTGTTATGTTTATTGCTTGGATTGAAAACTTTTGTGTTTGTGGATTAAAGGCTCAACCCTTCAAAAATCTTAATATTCTGACCTACATAAAAATAAAAAGTGTTTTTTTTTTTTTGTTACATTAAATTGATTTAAACTGTTAGAGGCCAGCCTGCACTCGTTTCTTAAGGTGTTACATATATCTTTTGGACAGCTTAATTTAGTGTGCGTAACAGCTATTATGTGTGTGAACGAGTTGTATAGTTGTGCTTCGTGAACCAAGCGCCCACATGTCTTCCTCTCTCGTCTACGACGTCTATTATTATTATTACTAATTAATTAATAAAATATTGGTAGAAAACCCTGATAAACGTTTGCTGTCACACATCCCACTCATTTTCAAACTTTTAGTAAATTTCATGCCTCTTTTTTCTAGATAGTATCTGTGGATTGGTTTCCTGCTTGTACGTAATCCAGCAGATCTAGCTGTGTCTCCAAGTGGTGCTATGTGACAGCAAGTGTTTGCCAACGGAGTTGAGTTTGTAAGTCTCTGTGCTTTATGTTGTGTGCCACTAAGGGTGACTTCTGCCTATTGTCTTTGACTAACCAATCCTTCAAATTTTAAGCAAAGAAATACTGTAATTAATTATTAAATCAATAGATTTTTTTTTCTAAGTTATAATACAACTTTGCCTTTTATTAAAAAATTGTGAATGTTTCAATGTGAAAAAACAGTATGTTTACCTCTAATGGATTTTGCTTGTTTTGTCACCCTTATGCAGACAAACCAACAACGATTGTTCTGGAATAAAATATTAACAAGAAAGTAAAAAAAGATGTTATCTACGTACTTTCTTTGAATATAAAATATAGACATTGTCTCTAGCATGCAGTTGTGAATTTTATTTTGTCACAATCTAACAAAGAAGATATTGTAAGCAGTCAGCACCTTACCTTAAACAGAAATACTGCCATCCCTGAAACTGGTTTTCTCAATCCACACATTCAGCAGTACAGATGCATTTTTCCCAATGCCTTGAGCCCTCACAATATTTGCAACAATATCATCCTTATCATATTTCAGGAGAAGTCCTTCACCTCCATATCCTTGAGAAACTTCATGGTAATTAGTGTGCTGAGAAAAATGAAATACAGTTTATGTAAAATACTATGGTCATTATACAAGACATTAGATCCATTTATAGAAGACTCAGCTCTATTTACCAAGAGTTTGCAAGCCACTGAGCTGTTAAACATGGGCTGCTGCTCTCTAAGGATCTGAGTCCACCCAGCATCATTTCCAACAACTGAAATAACATTTGCTCCAAAACGTTTCATTGTATCTATCTCAGCCACGCTATAGCCACATGAGCCATCTCCCCAAATTATCCAAACTTCACTGTCTGGCCTACACAGTTTAGCTCCGAGCGCAAAGCCACCACCAACACCAAGAGTTCCGAATGCACCAGGATCGAGCCATTGTAAAGGGCCACGAGGTCTGTAATTGGAAGATTTATATTAATGAAATGTAAAAAGTTTACAGACTAAAGGAAACAATATTGTGAGCTAAGTACGGTACTCTAATACTACATACTACAGTACCTGAGAATGTAAGCACCAGTAGCAACAAAATCTCCACCATCATTTACAAGTATAGCATTGTCAGGTAAAAGCTTATCAAGTTCATAGAAGAACTTCATGGGATTGATATGCTGATCAGTAGGTTGCAGTGACATCTGAGAAAAATAATATACAGGAATCAAGATTACAAGAAAATTCAACTTGTCTGTTGTAGTTCTTCTTATAGCTATGAGGGATTCATTTACCTGCATATTACTCTTTTCCTTGGCAGTTTCTCTTTCTGATATCTCTGAGAGCCACTCCTTGTCAACATTCAGTGACCCTTGCAACATTTCAGCCATTTCCACAATGAATGTTGCAACATCAGCAAGGACAGGAACAGTTGGTTTCCAGTACACATCTGAATTCTAGAAGAAATCAACAGATGAGAGCCCTGTGCTGTTACATTTTATGAACAAAAAAAACTGGGTTTGCTTTCCATACTTTCCATAGCTGTTCCTTGTTGCGGTTTACACAAATAATTTTAGCAGATCGAGGTATTGATCTGCCATACTGAAGGCGGAAGTCACAGACACTTCCTGCCAGGATTACAAGATCAGCACGCTTCAGAGCATTGCCACGTTGATGCCTGAACTGGATCTTGCTCTTTGTGCCTAGGAGGCCCCTCGCCATTCCACCAAGGAAGGTAGGTATGCCTAAAGATTCGACAGCTTTCTGGAGGCGTTCTGCTGGAACTGGCGGTAGAGTAGCTTGACTTCCAATGATGAGAAGAGGCTTCTTTGACCTGGAGAGAAGCTCAGCACATCTCTGCACTAAACCATAAATGGTACACAGTGAGAAAGGGACAATAAACGGGATATATAGAGAACTTTTTTTTTTTTTTTTATCCTTACAGTTTTCTGGAGTTGGCATCGGAATGCTAGGTGGTAAAGGAGATATCTCCTGCTTGTCCCAAGCTCCAGCAAATATATTCTGAACATAGTTCTTCAGGAACCTATTGTTAAATAATATTAAGTTTCAAATTTGTACTTAAGTATACAACAACTTTCAAATTTGCTACAAACCAATGAACAGCTGTGGCTTGAAGTCCCTTTGGCTTACTTGCTCCTAGAACTTCTTTGTTGACCATTGCAAAGGGATACAAGACATCTATTGGAAACTCCACAAATACAGGGCCTTGATGACATACAAAAAGTTGATTAGCTAGATTACAAATATTTTCTCTTCAGTGTGAATCTACATCACTGTCACATCCTCAAACTACCTGGTGTGCCAGACTGTGCTTCACAGATTGCTTTTCTCAAGGTTGGAGCAATATCTCTTACACATTTTACAGTGGAACAAGATTTACAAATTGACTTAAACAAAGAAATTTGATCAATATCTTGAAGAGCGCCTCTGCCTTTCAGAATTGTGGCTGCTGCTCCTCCTGCAAAACGACAAATTGTTATCAATGGTTCTAAAAGCTGTTACTGATATGAAGAAAATTTGAACTAATTTACCAATCAGGAGTAAAGGAGATTCTGCCATTTGGGCATTTTTAACAGCTGTAATTGTGTTTGTGAGTCCTGGACCGGCAGTAACTGCAGCCACTCCAATGGTTCCTGAAAGACGAGCAACTGCATCTGCAGCAAATACAGCAGATACCTAAACCAAGAGTTATTAGTGATAGTTTAAAATATCTGAGTGGTTTTGAGGGGGAAAAAACATACATGTATAAGTTACCTCATGTCTGGTATCAACAACTTTAATTCCTAGTTTCTCTGCCGCAACTAGTATTGGTGATATGTGACCTCCAACAAGAGTAAAAATAAATTTAACTCCATGGCTTTTAAGCACATCAGCTACAATCTCCCCTCCATGTTTCGTTGACTCTTCATGAACCTGAAAAATTGAAACAACATAGAAAAAAATATTCATCAATAGAATTGATTTTACAATATAATCCGTACTCACAGGGTGGGTCCAGATGAAGAGTAGATTAAAAAATTTCAGGAATGCAACGACTAGCCCTAGGAATACAAGACCAGCACCTCCCAGAAGAAAACACGAACAACAGATATCCATCATACATGTAAATGAACCAATTGAGAGATGAAGTACAAAAGTTTTAGCTGATTCTAAATTTCTGGTATGGGGATCTAGTATGGGAATCTAGCTAGGCTTCCAGGTAGATATCTCTAAGTATGCCTAAAGACATGTTGCCAATCCGAACCCGACACCGATCACAAGATAGGATAACCGAATCGTGAAGTTGGTCCAAGTCCAAAGGTATCAATGTGATTGCCTCGGTGTTGGTGAATTATCATCAAGGTCATAGAACTTGTTATAATCCCCCTTGAAATTATCAGCTTTGGAAGTACTGACACCTGTTTCTGCTTCTGCTTCACGCTGATTTCTCATTGTTTACAGTCATCATGTTTTCGTATAGCCTCTCTTATGATTCATTCAATCGCAATCAGTACTATGGGGAAGCCATCTTAATTGCAATATGGTTGCACATACCAAAGTGTTATGGCGAGGACGCATTCCTGAGTCCTGAGCAAGCAACAACAATTTTAGATCCGCTGTACTCGGCATGGGTTGAAATGAAAGAAGATAAGGGAAGAACTCCTTTGCGCATCATACTCAACAATTTTTTGAATCACATTGAAAAGTTGGAGTCTTTACGGTCACCAGATGATAGTTATGAGAAAGAGTTTCAGGTTGGTTGTTGTCAAAACCTTTAGTGTGTCAACATAGGGTGACATTCCTCTTCTTTGTTTGACTTAAACTTGTTACCGGCCTTCTAATTTTCAATTTTACCGGTACTTCCTTGTACTATTTGTTTTAACTCACCCACACAACCCAACATTTTAATTTTAAAATCATAAATAGGGACTTAATTCCGGTGGCAAAGCTATGGAACTAGGTTAGACGACGCCGTTCTCTCGCGAACGATCAAAACACAGATGCCACAGGTGGTTGCGTTAATAAAAATTTCTCCGCTAGCTGTATTTCGAATTTTTTCTCAAGCTGTGAATATTATTTTTTTGTTTTAAAATGTTGTGTAGTTCAGGTATTATCTAAGATGCCTTAATTTGAAAACATATAATGTACATATTTTAAGATATTGAAAATATCAGAGAATGCTACAATGAGTGCTGTAATACTTTTCTGTTTCTAACAGGACCTCAAATTATTTAGCGAGAATCTGAAAGGGCAGAAACTTTATTCAAGTGGTGTTGGAGAAAAGGAAATAAATAGGAAAAAGAATCGCTACAAAGACATTTTGCCTTGTAAGTTTTATCCCTCATCAAACTCATTGGATTTCAGTCAAATTTTTTCAATTTTGAAATTCCTGAAATTTTCTTACAGTTGACTTTAGTCGAGTCGTGCTAAGCGAATATGTCGGAACTACGGGAAGTGACTACATCAATGCCAATTTCATTAGAGGAGCAAGTGGGTCTCCAGCCTACATTGCAAGCCAGGGGCCCCTTGCTCACACTGTCAATGATTTTTGGAGAATGGTTGTTGAGTGTGAAGTGCATGTCATCATTATGGCTTGCAATGAAGATGAAGCTGGCAAAGTAAACTAAATATTCATTGATTGACTTATTAATTTTATATGTATACCCATTTTTAATCATACTTGTTTTTCTTTATCTCATCAGCACAAATGTGAAAAGTATTGGGTAGATCGTGAGGGAGAAGTAAAACAATTTGGAATGGTGCGCATTCGACTAATTCAAGGAAGTGATGTCTGTCCTGATTTCTCTGTGCGTACTATTAAGCTTGAGTACACCAACAAAGATAGCACAATAGGTATGGCACTTTATTGTACCAATATTATTAAATAATTGCCATCATGAAATAGTTGCTTTTCAATATTGCAAACTCATGTAAATTTTATTTCAAAACAGAGGAACGTACTGTGTGCCAGTTTCATTACTCAGCGTGGCCAGACCATGGTGTTCCCCCTTCTGTTCGACCATTGCTTGACATGGTTCGTTTAGTAAGAGATACCCAAGCTTCTGAAACACTACCCGTCCTTGTCCATTGCTCTGCTGGCTGTGGACGCACAGGAACAATATGTGCCATAGATTATGTTTGGGGTTTACTTCGTGCTGGTGTATGTAGAGAATTTTTTTTAACTATCTCACTTTTAATTTGATAAATCAGATTTTCACAGTTGTAACCCTTAATCCATTTTATAATAATTTTTTTTTTTAGAAATTGACCAAGGATTTCAGTCTTTTCACTCTTGTACGAGAAATGCGAAGACAACGTGTTGCTATGGTGCAAACAACTGAGCAGTATATATTGGTGCACCGAGCTGTGAGAGAACTTTTCAAAGAGCAGCTCCGTGTTATAGATTCTCATCCATATGAGAATATAGATGTTGATGGCATTCTTGTACGCAGTAAGGGTGATGAAGAACCACTTTATGAATCTGTGCGCACCATAGAAGAACCCAAAACTATAGGTTTGCATATAGCTGTGATTTGTGATTTTATTTACTTTTAATTTTTGAGTATTGTCTCATACTCTTAGTATTTTCTCCTGTTATAGGTAACAAATCAATTACAACAGATGATGCTTCTCCTGCCCCACCACTTCCAAGAAAAAATCGTATTCATATGGCAGCTTCTAAACATGAAAAGGAAGTGGAAAATCAAACCCAGAAACAACGTAACAGTCAAGGGGGTCCTGTTGGTATTGCTAAATTAAAGGCCATGTTTGAGCGTAGTCCTGTAGCTCGTAGTCAGTCACTTGGAAGAAGGCAGGCCTCTAATCCTGTTCCAGTAGTTACTCCACCATGTCCTGCCCTCCCAATCAAAAGAAGCAAATCACTACGCATCATTGGAAGTGGAGAGAGGCATAAACTTTCTGTTTTGGCTCAGCAGTCATCTAAGACATCTCCCTCAAATGGATCAAGTAAATCTAGTTCACAAGCTATAAGATCCAAAGCAATTCCAGGTGCTATTTTGAGGAGACGAAGAAGTTTTGAATCAGAAAACAGTCCTAAACCAATTCGCCATTCTTTACACTTGGATGATGATGGCCGAAAGTTACTGCAGGACTGCAAAGATTTTCTTTCCAGATCTGTTGATTACACAGGTGAAGGGTGTCAACGCACTGATGGTATTGTTAGTGGTAAAGGAATCAGAGAAAGAAGAGACAGCTTTCGGCAGGCCATCTCAAAGACTACAGAGCATCCAGTGGACAAGATCTCAACTAATGGAAATTCTGTTCTACCAAATCATGCTTCTCCAAAAAACCCAGAAACTGCTGATGAAGTTGATGGTCCAATAATGCACCATATGAAATATAAATCTAATGCAAATGATCAGGATGAGGTTGATGCTATCCAGTCTAATGTGATTGTTGTAAAACGTGATCGTTCATCCCCAAAGGTGGATCTTTATGTTAAAGGGCTCACAGGAGAAACAATATCGTCAAACTCTAATCATCAAAATGAGAATGGCTGTGATCCTTTTAAACAATTTGGTGTTATATGGAACCGAGCTGCTACATCAATTGATTTGAAAAGTAATTTACGGAACAGTGATATGAGTTTGCAGGAATTAAAGTCATGTCTGAGGAGAGAGGGTACTGCTCATGAACTCAAGGCCAGGAAAAGTGATGGTATTCAAAATGTCTTACCTGTGAAGCCATATAAGTCTTTAGACAGAGTTCCTAAGAAGGATGAACGCATTGAAATCCTACCAACTCCAGCAGAGTGGAGACATCCTCCTATTACCAATTCTCTGAGTAGCCCTCATCGCTCTCCTCAAACCACCGTGGACCGAAGAAACCCATTGACTGTTCCAAACAGTCCTCATAGATCACCTCAGACAACTGTGGATCGAAGGAACCCACTGCCAAACATGCCCAGTCCACATCATTCACCTCAAGCTACAGTTGATAGAAGGCATCCTCTGCATGCTTCTTCAAGCCCTCATCGGTCTCCTCAAACTACATTTGATCGAAGGAATCCTCTGCCAAGCCCTCATCAATCTCCTCAAGCAACGGTGGACCGCAGAAATCCCTTGAGTTCTCACACAAGTCCTCATAGTTCTCCACAAACCACTGTTGACAGGAGAAATCCACTCTCAGCTGCAACCAGTCCACACATTTCTCCTCAGACGACTGTAGACCGAAGAAACCCCTTAAGCTCTCATTCAAGCCCTCATAGTTCACCACAGACAACAGTGGATCGACGGAATCATTTGAATCAACTGACAGGTGCTCTTATGTCTAGTGAAATATCGTCAATCAGTGCTAGAAACCATGCTGGTGTGTCACAACATTCCCCTCAGACTTCTGTGGATAGAAGGACTTCTAACACGGGTCCACAAATTTCACCCCAAACCACTGTTGATAGGAGGGCTCCAGTGAGTGTTTCTTCAAGCCCCCATATTTCTCCCCAGACAACAGTAGATAGAAGAAATTTGTTGCTCCCTAATAGCAACATTGCAGTTCCTCCACCTGCGCCTCAGCTGCAAATGCTCGTGAGTTCAGGGCACATAATCAATGGTCCTATCACAACTCAACCATCTCACCCTGCTCCTGTGCCCTCAAATGGTCATGGTCCCATGAGATCTCCCATGCCTGCTGAGCATCAAAATTTGCCACGAAGCTCTAATTCTCCTCAGCATCGAGTAAATGCCCATCACCCTGGAGGAGCTGGTGGCAAGGAGGCCTATAGTTACGGTATGTATTTGATGATTACTCTGAGCTAAGGCAGTCAAATCTTCCTATTTGTCCTGTACCTTTATCTCCACTACTCTTCTATTGTGCAGGACTTGTGGCTAGTGTTCTTCGAAGAGGTTCACAAGATGACCTAGCGCTGTGTGTCTCCGGTAATAGTGTTATTTCTCCCAAAGCTGTTGCTAATAACCAACGCCCAAGTGCCCCACCTCGTATTAAGAGACATGCAAGTGTTGTTCTACCAAGGAAAAACAGTGGTGGGTTTAGCAAGGCTCCTCTTTCTGATTAATCTTTTTTTATGTTCTTGAGTTAATCCTTTTATTTTTCTATTTAAATGTTTAGGGAACAAAGAAATAGCAAGTTCTTTGAATCAGAGTACTCCTCCTGTAAGTTTCTTCTCTCATTTTGTGATTCAATTTCATGTTGTGCTGTCACTTTCTACCATTGCTCACTGATTGTGTTTCAGGTTGATCCAAAAAGATGGGCTGCAAAAGGGACACCAAATTGTACAAAGAAAATGGTGGCTTATCCTCCTGGGCACCTTCCTCCCACAGTTCCATCGCCATCTGTACAGGCAACGCCCAGCCAACCCTCTGGGTCAAAGGCAGCAACAGGAGGACAAACTCCAAGCTCCTCAAAGTCCAAAATGTGTAAGTTAAATAAATTACCAAAAATAAAATAATCCTTGATTTTTATTTTTGTATTATTTGACTTATGTATATAGTATTTTGTTCCTTAAAAGTGAGGCTGATATTTCTTTTTATTGTACAAATATATTTCATTTATCCATCCAGCCCCCAAGAAATCTGCAGCTAGCAGTTTAAGCCGAGCTTTAGGAGCTCTACAGTTGCGTCGATCTGGGGCTTCAACTACAACTGCTTCTTCATCCTCAGCAGTAGGCCCTAAGGGCAGCACAGAGACAGCTTTGATAGCTGAGAGACCAAACACAAAAGCTACCCCTCCTTCAAAAAATACGACTTCTTACCCTACACCTGTGGTAGCACCTACTATGGTTATTAATCCAGGAAAAACTATACTCCCTACTGGTATGTATTTTAAAAATACTGAGATGTAATTAAATTTTGTGTGGTTATGACGTGCTTGCAATCTGAATGACGTCTTTAAATTGTTGCAGGTATCATTGATGATGGCAGTAAAACTCTTCCACCGCAAGAACATTTGGTGAGAAGTACAGCATCAATGCCTATTAGCTCAGGTCTTCAAATGCAAACTAGCTACCCACCTCACTCTCACACTCATGTGCAGCCTCTTTCTCAGTCTCATTCCCACCCCCACCCTCACCCTCACCCTCATGCTCACTCACATCCTCGACCCCATACCCACCCCATCTCAGCCCCTCACCATCCCTCTCCCCAGCCATTCCAGCATCGTCATCCATATCCTGCCCCGCGTCAAACTTCACCACATCATACATACCCTCACATGGCACACCAACATCCAAAGACTCACAAAAAACAGCAGTATCTTTGACGAGCTCAGCAGTTATCAAAGAAATCTTCAGGAATTCCAATCTTCATTATTGTCTTCTTTTCTGCACTTATTGTCCAGTCCATGCGGTAAGTGACAGTGTCATTGAAAGCTACTTATGTCTAATATTAGGTAGTGTTGTTCTCTAGCTCAATAACTTGAATTCCACTGAGAGATATGATGGGTTGATTAAATGCTCGGTAGATAGTAAGAGTAGGGAAAACATATGTATTATTTTTTAATGAAATTGAGGGTAAGTTCTAAATATACCCTTCTAATTGTTGTCATTTGATAAGAGTAAAGTGAAAATGAAGTGATGTCATGGTGTTTGTGATATGAATGTATTTGTAAATAGATACTGTATGTGAAAATATTGGATGAAGTGTGTTTGAAGACTAGATAGATTGATATCAAACCAAGAAACATTTAACATTCCATATTCCATATAATTTAACCATTAGCTCTATTTTCTTGTTTGTTATTTTAGTGTTGCTATTGCAATCCAAGTAGGCTCTCTAAAATAGTGAGTACAGTTCTCCTAAGGTGACTGTTTCTCTTGATGTTTTAATTTAAGATTTAAAGATGGTTCGAATGTCATCCAATTGATACAATTGATATTGTATCAAGACAAAACGTTTTATGTCTAAGTCACAAATGAACTGACCTCAGCTAGCAAGTTACATTTAAGTCAGGTGTGATCAGATCCTTTGTGACTTCAAATGTATTGTTTGTTTTTTTAGCAATTTTGCTAACAGTGAACTTGTTTTACATTTTACAAATAGAAGCATCTATTTTTTGTACTTCTTTTAAACCAGTGATTTTATTCTTCCCCTTCATTTAAATTTGTTATTAAGCATGGTCTCCTAAATTTAAGAGAGGTGAGAAAGATTGTTGAAAGGGTTTTATTTTTATGAAATAACCTTAAGTGTTTGAAACCGTATTGTAATGTTCCAGCATAGTGTGTTCTTTTCACTTCCTGTACTAGTGGATCATTTACTTCTAATTAATTATGTATGACTACTTTTAGAAAAACTGGATAAATTCCAACTTTTAGATCATTGAATCTGTGATAGAGTGGTCTTTTTGAATTCAGATCTACCCTAGTTAAATTATAGCATTTGCAATATATACTGTGTTATTTTATTTTCATCGTTAAAGGATTTGTGATCACTTTATCACTTGATAATTGTGCAATGATTTTATTTTTAAGCTGTGTTTAACAAATGCTGATCTTTGTCCAATTGCATTTTGGTTATGAGCAGTATCCTGTAATAAGTATTGTTCCAAAAAAAATTCTCTTTAATCCACAACCTCTGTTTGCTTTTTGAAAACCGTTTTATTGGGATATGCAAGGCAATTCAGAGAATTGCACTGCAGTATATAAGCATTTACTGAATCTTGATACTATTCCAAAAGATACCAGCTATCCCCAGTGAATCCTTGAATACATTTTTGACTAATACCTGACACATTCCATTTTGTTAACTGAATGCATCTGCATATGTGTGTACGTAATTTCCAAGGCAGACAATAGACTACCAATCGTAGATTGTAGCTTCTTTGTGTCGTTAAAGAATAAAGTATTATTAGTAAAATTCGCAAATGTTTTACACCCCTCACATTTCAAAGTCGTCTTTGATATTCCATTTGGTATCACGCTGTTTTACTGTAAGAAACTAATTGCCCGTAATGTGATCCTCCAGAAACTACGTCCACCATTCGCCGTCATTAAGCCACAAAGATCAGCCGATGCAAGCTATCATAGCCCCTGATAGGTGGGCAACATCTTGTCTGCAATGCTTGCGTGTACTGCGGGCTGGCCTACCACGAGTCTCACAGGCGCCGAGCTAACGCAGTTTGTCGAATGAAACCACGTCCCTGTTTGTAGCTACAGCCGACAGTGTCAGCTTAAACTGAACCCCTGACAAGCCGAAAGGGCCTGGATGCATCTAAACTAACACAGAGAGATGTTGCTGTGGTGGTAGCCGGACTACTAGCTGCCATGGGTCCACGCGACGGGAAGGGCGGGGCTGTAGAAAAATGTGGCCAATGCGTTGCGAGGGGTAGAGCTACTAGCCTACGGCCGCCCCCGGAGACAAGAGCGGACTTCCGTCGAGCCCCGCCCCCCGGGTCACAAGCACGCGCGTGAAACTGGCTCAGCTCAGAGCGGGGACGGGTCGCTCACTGGGTTTGCCTATACCCTCCAGGCGATCTCACGCGCACATCGCCAACCAGGACTACTCCTATGAACACGGAGCCCAAGGACACATACACCTGTGCAAATTTGGAAGAAATCGATGTCCTTTGAATTTGAGCCTCCTCCACAGCGGGGATGGAGCCAACAAGCCATAGTGCTAGGGGCGAGGAGGGTTGTAGGAGGGGGAAGGGGGTAGATTTCGAGTCAAGGTCTGCGACGATGATGGGGGAGGCCGCCCCGGCCGGCTGCGCCCCGGTGGCCGACAAATCAAGTCGGTAATGGGGGCGATATAAGGGGCGGGAGGGCGTCCCGGCGGAATGTTTGATGATGCGATCCCCGCCCACCGCGGAGTCACTGAGTGAAGGGTTGGGGGAGCGGCGACCAGACCGGAGGCCTGGCCGGGCCAGTCGCGACGGGAGGGGTGGCAACGGAAGGCAGGAAAGTAAGGTCTGCTCGGAGACCGCCTCGGATTTGTCCCGGGATCAAATATTTATTCATTTACGTTTGTCGCAAAAACATTCCGAACGTTTCTGGGTGGGGGGCAGGATGGTGCTCTCGCTGGCCACCACCTCCCTCAAGACCGTCGGCATCTGCCTGTGCTCGCCGCACTGCCTGGACACGCCGGGCCGCGGGGCCGCGCACGCAGAGCACGCTCACGGCCGGGCCTTCCGCGCCTACTCCAGGCTGTGCACCGTCCTGGCGGCATTGCTCACGCTCGCGTCCCTGTTCACGCTCTGCGTCGACTCGGCCGACTTCGAGGTACGCGGATGATGCTTGCTGAAAAAGAAAAGAAAACCTACTTCCTACTTGTGATGCTGATGCTGCCGGTGGAGGTTGCAGGAGGTGACAGACGGCTTCATCAACTTCTGCTCGCTCTACACGACCTGGGTGTACATCCGCGTGTGGCGCGGCCGCGGCGCCGACCTGCACCGCCTGCTCACCGCCCACCAGCGCTTCCTGGACCGCTACAAGCGCATGTGGCGGCGCGACGCCGAGCAGAGCCGATTCCTGCACGCCATGGTCTGCTGCACGTAGATACAGTATTTTTAAAAACAAAATTTTGAGGGTGCTTTACATGGAAATTTCAGGGGAATTTTCACTTTTTTAAAAAGAGGCAAAAACATTTTTTAGTGAGAAGTCTTTTTGAAGCAGATGACACATTTAACGTTTTAAAAATTAAACAACACAATACGATGTACCATGTAGGCCTACTGATTAGTTAAATGTGTCAGCTAGCGCGTACGGCCGGGAGTAGTAAGGTAGGCGGCATCTCCCCACCATTCCGTACTTTACGGCGCACGGCTGTGGCGTTCCTCCCGCCAGGCCTCCCCACCCTGCCCTCTCCAATTCTCCCCCTCCACTGCGGAACGCAATCAATAATAGCCGGATCAGCGACACTGATAAATTTAGACACTACTTCTCCAGGGGGGGATAGTGTCTTCACAACTCTGGGGCTCGGATCCGAGGTTCATGAGTCACTCGGTGGGGATCGCTGATTGCAGTTCCGGCTCGACATGATGTTCACGATGAGCCTGCTGTGCACCATCCTGGGCCTGGTGGCGCTCGTCATCCTGCAGTCGTGTGTGTCGCTCGTGCCACCACTGCCGCCCGTGCCGCGCCTCATCTACGCGCCGCCGCCCGCCGAGGGCGAGCTGGACCCGCTGGCCGGCTCCAGGACCCTGCGCTTCGCGCTCGTCCTGCTGTTCCAGAGCCCCGCGCTCGTCTGCTGCGGCATCCCGTTCGCCGCCCTGTCCGCCATCCACTTCGCACTCAACACGCACGGCATCTACCTCATGCGGTGGGTCTCCGCTCTATCCCCCCCCCCCATCGCAGTAAGGGATCATCCATAGAGTGCGTCTGTCATTCACCGTTACGAACCTCTGCCAAGTTCAAACCTTTGCAAGCTCTCATAGCGCCTGTTAGGTAGGCAACATCTTGCCTGCAGGGCATGCATGTACTGCGGGCTGGCCTACCCCATGTCTCGCGGGCGTCGAGCTCCAGTAATTGGCCTAATGAATCTGTCTGTGATGTACAGACGTACTTTCTGGACGATTCCGAAGCGGAACGAAATAGAAAACTGCATGAGATGCTGTGAGCGGATACGCGCGCAATTTGTGCTACACTGGGGGCAATCCATCGCCATCGCCCCTTCCGACTTTCAACACCGCCTGGCTGAGGAGGGTGGGGAATTTGTAACTTATACGAAAAGACAAGCCTGCTTTGCTCGCAGGTGCCTGAAGCGATCGCTCGAACTGGCGGGCGACGACCTCGAGGGAAGGTGGAGGCGGCCCTGGGGAAGTCGCAGCCCAGTGGACGTGATCGTCAAGCAGCACCAGCACATCCTGGAGTGAGCTATGAGAATGGTGCATTGAGAGACAGGGCGTGTCACCTTGGGATTTTTTTTTTCAAGGGTTTTACATAAGTGGGTGGTCACCGCAAATGTGCTTTTTTTCTGTTTGAAAAAAATAATTGTGGAGATGATATTGCCCACAGTATGCTGCACACTAACAACAACATATTCGCGAGGCCCATCACCGAGCGCCTGGCCATTACATACATCCTGCTGGGGCTCACGGCGTACTGCCTGTCCACGGTGAGCGCACGCGATTGGTAAGTTGAAGGAGTGAGTTCCAGAAAACGACAACATAATACTACCCTACCCACTCCTTCAACTCACCTTAAGCGCGCCCATGCAAGAGTGAGGCTGAAGGATTATCCAGAAAGTACGTCTGTCATTTACCTTTACGCACGACCCTGTCAAGTTCAGCAGTTCAGACTTCGCAAAGGTCTCATAGCGCCTGGTGGGTAGGCAACATCCTTCCTGCAGTGTATGCGTGTGCCGCGGGTTGGCCTAACCCAAGTCTCGCAGGCGCCTGGCTGCCGGCATTGGCCGAATGATTCTGGAGAAAACGGACGTAATTTCTGGATAATCCCTGAAACACATGCACGATCTTGCAGCAATCATGATCAAATTGGCACGTACGTCAAATCATATCGCGTAATTCTCTCGATCCCTGCAGAACCCCCTGGGTGACGTCAAGGTCCCCATCATCGCCTTCTTCATGATCGTCAGCCTCCTCTTAATGGCCGTCCTCAGCGACCTGCTCAAAGACGAGGTGGGTTCTTCTTGAGGAGCTAGATCAGTTCAGGTCATAACGCCGCGCCGCCAGGCGTCTGCCGCCCATCGGTTGGGCCAGCTCCGCGCGCTCATAACTATCATGAGAGTGGGCCCGATGGGCTGGGGCTCGCCAGGCGCTAGAGGTGACGGTACAGCAGGACAGGTGAACCTGCTGAGCTGAATCCAAGGCTGAGCCTCTCTCCTGCCGCAGTGCGGGTCCGTGCAGGAGGCCGTGTGGCGGTGCGAGTGGGAGACGGCGGGGCGGCAGGCGCACAAGAAGCTCATCCTGCTGACGGCCAGGGTGCAGCGATACAGCCTGGACGGCCTGGCCGCGGCCGGGCTGCAGGAGCGCATCAGCATGACCACCTTCGCGCAGGTCATGAAGTCGTCGGTGTCCTTCCTGCAAGCGCTGAGGAACTTCCACTAGCGCGGCGCCGCCGCCAGAGGAGCCGCCAGGGTCGAGTAGAAAAGAGATTCACTGTTTCTAAAAGCAGATGATACCTTAAAACACTTAACATAAATATACATAGGTAATATTAAGGTGTCGGATATTTTTTTGTAAATAGTTAAAATTTATTATTTCAAATATATCACACGATTTAACATTAACAATAACAGCAGTCACAAGGTAATTAGTCTTTACGGTAAATGCGCGGGAGATCGTTCGGCGTTGTTCGACGCGGTCCGGTCCTCGTAGGCGGAGAGGCTGTGCGCCGCCACGTCGGGCGTGTTGTTGGACGCGACGGCCGGCCGGCCCTCCAGCTCGGCCACCACCTGCTCCAGCGTCTTGCCCCTGGTCTCGGGGATCACGAAGTAGGTGAAGAAGGCCGTGAGCACGCCCGCCACGGCGAAGCTGAAGTACATGACGACCGCGCCGGCGGACTGCGTGGCGGGGACCAGGAACGGTTAGAAACAACGTGACGGATAAAAACACGACGACGCAATCGGTGCGACACACTCACGTTGTATATCTTGGACACGAGGAAGGTGAAGATGGTGAGCGAGATGTTGACTCCCGACACGGCCAGGCCCTTGACGCTGGTGGGGAACACCTCGCCGGGCAGGATGTCCGGGACGGGCCCCATGCCCAGGGCGTACGCCACGGCGTACACCACCAGCCCCAGGAGCGGCACCCATGTCAGCGAGGAGCCGTCCGCGGCGGCCGCCTCGCTCTCTGAAATAAAAGAGGGAGTCCGTGAGCATGACACTCCGGCGCAAGCGCACGCTGATGCGATTACGTGATGCATGCGTTGCCTGTAGGCGTTCGACGGGAAATTTGAATTTTTGCAAGTACTGGGGAAAAAAATTAAAAAAACAAAACATGACGATTCCAATTTTTTACATATTTTCCAGCTCAACAACTGAATCCACCTGCAAAGTTTTGTTCAAATTTGAATACTTGCCTGGGAAGAAGTGGAAGTAGAGGCCGTTGGAGGTCATGCTGGCGGCCACCACGATGGAGGACAGAATGAGGAGCGGCCTGCGCCCGAGCCGGTCCATGAGCAGCAGGGGCGCGAACGAGGCCACGAAGAGGACGGCGCCGATGATGGCGGGCCCGAAGTTGGCGAGGTTCTCCGGCAGCGTGGTCGAGGTGTAGGCGATGACGGCCGAGAGGCCGGACAGGCGCTGCAGCGCGCCCACCACCACGGCGATGAGCAGCGCCTTGCGCGCGCCGCCGGTGCGCACCATGCCCACGCAGCCGCACTGCAGGTCGCTGCCCAGCGCCAGATCGGCGCGCATCGACTCCTCCAGCGGCACCAGCTCGCCGGCCACGTCGTCGCGGCCGCGGAGCCGCTGCAGCGACTGCCTGGCCAGGTCGGGCCGGCCGCGCATCAGCAGGAAGTAGGGGCTCTCCGGCATCGGGAAGAAGCACGCCAGGAACAGGAGGGTGACGGCCAGGCCGCAGTAGGCCAGTGTCGTGTACTCGGTCGGGTACAGGTAGCCGATCACGTCGGCCAGCAGCACGCCGAGGAAGAGCATGGCCTGCGTGAGCGAGGAAGCGCTACCGCGGAAGCCCGGCGAGGCGATCTCGCCCCAGTACATGGTGTTGACGGTGAAGACGGTGCCGCCGCCCATGCCGGCCAGCAGGCGCGCCGCGTACAGCAACTGAAAGTACGGAATAAACAATATACTTTTACGGGGGTTTTAATTGAATTTTC